AAGGGAAGGTACACTGCCAACGTGTTTGAACCTACCACAAGGTCTATTTGAAAAAACAGCTGCACTAATCAGTGAGCAGGCAGGTACATCAGAGAATACTGGTCAAGGAATTGAAGAATTCATGAATGAGTTCATATTTGAAGATGGAGAAGAGGTCCCAGCTTCATTGATGAACTAAATTCATATGAAGAAGAAAGGTAGTAGAGTACATATTTTGGGTTTTGAATTTTGGTTGTAATGTATATAGTCGGGTGTGGGTTAGATAAAAGGTCTTGTTTTTTTTTTGTTTCTAAACACCAAGACAACTACTCACACATGTACTCTATGCTGAAAATATGATTAACAAATCAAATGCTCTGTGTATGTTGTTCATAATGTAAACACTCATGCCTCATCAATATTCAACTCATAATACAATAGACATAAGCATGTATGAATACCCAAATGAAGAGGCAATCTTCATTTTAATTACTCAGAATATACAAAAATAACACAATGAACCAGATTTAAATGTATAAATTGGAAAAGAGAAGTGTCTGGAAAACAAAAAAAAAGAACAAGAAGTTACTCTGATTTTGATGCAAGAATCAGATGAAGCATAAAAATAAAATAGCAAGCAAAATGAGTACACTAGCAAACAGACCTAATTGCTATCGGAGGATAATTTGTGCCATGAAATACTCCATTAACAAAACAAATAAACTACTCCGTACCAAACATACCTAATTTGCTCCCAGTTGCATCAAGCCAAGGCCCAAGGACAAGATCCCCAATTAATAATCTGGATAAGAATTAATTTCATTAAAAAGGCAATCTCTAACCTAACATGTTACACAGTAAAAAAATGTATACTGCTAGATTTAATTCCATAAAATTACCTGAGAAAAGCCGACAAAGAGATGAATGCGATTAGAGAGAAGGAAGCGTCGTCCTCCTCACTATCTGCGATAAATAAAGTCAGTGGCTTGTATGAAGAAGGAAGCGTCGTCCTCCTCTCTAACGCCGGCCCTTGGAATTGAATCTCACTTTCAGTAAAAACAGAGAAAAAAGTAAAGAAAAATTACAAAGGAATCAAGAAATGGAAAGGGAGAGAGGTACGATTCTCAAAAGGGTGGCCAAATTGGATCTAGATTAGATCTTGTGAGAAGTGCAAATGGTAAAGCTAGATGATTCGTGATGGATAAGAATGAAGGGTGGGGGTTATTGATTAATTGTGGGTTGGTAGTGGTTGGAGGTTGGAGATTTAATTGTAAGGGTATTTGTGTCTTTTGATAAGGAAAATTTACTTTTTTTAGAAAGTGAGAAGTTAATTTTAGGACGACCCGAAAAGGAAAGTGAGAAGTTAATTTTAGGACGGAGGGAGTAATATAGTTACATATGCGTAATAGCTCCACAATCCTCAATAAAAAAATAGGGACTAATATCCACTATATTTTAAAAACATGTTTATAAAGTTCGTGTGGTTTCAATATGTTGCACCTACACTTACTCTCATCATTCTCTGGTCATTTTTTTACGAAATAAAAGATATTGGTGCATATTTTTCAAACTACATGGAGCACCAGAGCTTATTACCATTTCTTAGTTTATTTTAATAGTTTTTTTTCTTTTTGCTCTATTTGTTTCTTTATATATAAATATTCTTTGAATTTCTTTTTTAAAATTGTTTTTCATATTGATTTCAAAAATCATAATTCTTTATTTTTAAAATAAAAAAATTAACATATACTGCATCTCTCTCAATTTAAAGCTCAATATTTTCCAAAATAAAAATTCAATTTTTTTTAGAACTTCAAAAAATAAAAGAAAAAACAATAGAAAAATAAAATAAATGAAGTATATGTTGCTTTTTTTGTTTTCTTTATTTTTTATTTCAACATAAATAATTTTCAAATTTTAAAACATTACAACAAATTTTTCTTTAAAAAAAATTAAAACCTCATAAAAAGGGAAACATAAGGAACAAAAAAATAAAAGGAACATGGAAAACGAGCTCTATTGTGCCATATAGTTTGAAAAACAAGCATGTATATCTCTTCTCCGGAGAATGATCAGAAAATGGCAGGAAAATGATGTGAATTGAGAAAGGGTGTGTGCGTAATGTTTGAAACCACAAGAATCCTGTCAAGAAGCTTTGAAAACAAATGCGGCATTCGTACTCATTTTCTAAACTATAAAGGATATTGAAGTTATTCTGGCTAGTTATATAATAATTTGTTTCATAAACTTGATTTGGGCTTAAAACATATACTTATAATATGAAATATTTGCGCTAAATAACACTAGAACTTAAGTCATTTACATAAATAGCACTTAGATTATTTTATTCCATAAATATCACTTAATAATATTCATAATGACCAAAGATAATGAATATTTATTTGAATAATGACTAATGCATACTGACTG